CTATGATTCTATGATTCTATGATTACTTTCCTCTTCCTCAGATGTCTAGAAGCCTTCTGTCCTTGAAGAGTATACTGTCAGTAAATTTTAAATGCTAATAGCAGGACATGACATTCCATGCCAATCGCAGTAAAAATCGGAATTTCTGTGATCCACAGTGTTCATTAAAGCTCTCTTTGCCCTCTATATCCCAGGATTTACTGTAAGAAGGCCTAATGTTTGCTGTGTCTTGCCACTAAGTGCAAGAATGACAGATCCTTTTCTTGGCTGGGAGCTAGTTCTATGTCAGTTCATCTGAAGTGGGTTAAGTGTAGCCTCACTGTGGAAGTGCAATGTCCTAAAGACACACTGTTGTGTAGTAGTTTCTATGGGCTGGAACCAGTCACCCATGTTTTAATGTTTGCTCATGTCATTTTTAACCTTCATTTCTTTCCCTTTCCTTGCAGATTTTTATTGGTGAGATATCCATGTATTTCATAAAGTCAACTCGAGAAACCCTAATTATTCAAGAGAAAACTATTTTGACTGGAGAGTGCTGTTACCTGAACCCACTGCTTCGAAGAATAATACGTTTTATAGGTAAGCATCTTAAGCACTGCAAGCTTAGTCCCTGTTTGCACCAAAACAGGACAACATATCCTAATAATCTACACCACAAAATTAATTAAGCTGTGAAATCTTTGCAGGCATCTTCCACCTTAGAGGGATAGTCCCCCTTGGGATTTACAAGGTAACGTTTAAAATGTGCCATATCATGCTGTCTGGAGCTGGTTTATATCCTGTTCTGCTGAGCTTAATGCTTCTTCTGGACCCTTGAAGGAAGGTTATGCCAATGAAATCCTTATATGAATAATTCCATCATTGCTAGTCTGTGTATGCTAACCATTTTACTTACAAATTGGTCCTCAGCAGCCCATACTTTTGGCGGCATTTTTTTTTCAGCTCTAATTTTAACAGCTCTGCCACATAATGTTCAGCTAAGCACAGTGTAAAAAAGCCCAGAGCCCACTTCAAAATAACAGTCTTATTTTTATTGTATTTGGGTTTTGTTAAAGCTTTCATTGAGTTAATCACTGAGAAATGAAGTTCTATCAGTAAACTATTAGGAAGTTGCTTTATATGGTGCTTGCAAACCATTATGTCTTTTTCACATTGTTGATTAGTGGAAAAAATGCCTACCAGACCTTACTGATGGGACTGTCCCATGGTTCTTTTGGAGCAAGAAGAGGAACAGCATTGCAGCTTGTGTTTCCACTGTGGCACTGACAGAGAATCTGATTGTCCTCTGAAGGGTTCCCAATTCGCAGCCATTTAAGGCTGCCCAAACTGCACCCTTTGGTGTTTAGAGATAAGGAGGGCTGGTTGCTCACTTACTACTTCCTTGTAGCAGCAGAGTTAAGAAGGGAGCAGCTCTGAACTACCCGTGCAAGGGGCTCCAGCTTCCCTCATTCTTATTCGTTCATGAGAAATCCCAGATTCATGCATGGGTTGGGACAGCTTGTGTCATTGCTGGCATAGCCCAGTGGTAAATATGACTCCCTGCTGACCAAGAGGGGCTTTGCCCACAGAGCATCATGGCACCTCCTTCCCTGTATACTCTTAGACATAAAGCATCCTTACACACTGCATCTTACAGAGAGCAGGGTCTGAATTCACAGTCTGAGTTAAAAGAAGCAATGGGGAAAAAAATCTGAAAATATCTGGATCACTTCTTCCCTATCACTGCTGAATTTTTGAGCATTATCTGGAACAAGAAGATCTGCTGTGACTGTGGCAAGAGTTGTATTGCTTCCATGGAGTGCAGCCCAGGCTGCAGTTAGGGATACTTCCTCAGAGCACGGAGTTCAAAGTCTTATCCTGTGTTAAGGTTTTCATCATCAGCAAATACATGCTACAAAGGAGGAAGAGCCATAGTTTTCTTTCTGCCTCTCCTCTTTCTCTGCCTCCTGCTTTATGCATGGAATTTAGGAAGTTAATTGTTTTTTTACCTTCTGCCACACTGGGGGTGGGGACAAACCACCTGTGGTTCATTACTTACACCTGGCCTTTGTGCTCCTGCTAAAAACAAAAGACATAGGAATGCAGCTAAAAGTAAAATACCCTTGAACTTCACATAACCTCTAGGATATATTGATGGGTAGTAAACTGCCATTAAAAGAGAAGCAGGGTATAGGAATCCACTGGGCCACTCAGGGCTGTTTGACTGTTCCAGCACATTCGGCATGTTGCAAAGTCCTAATCAAATAATCCTGCCTGCAAGGTCAGCACTAAAAGAGCTTAGACCATGGAGGCTAAGCACTTGCTCTACATGTTTTCTTATAGTTAGCTTTATTCTTAAACATTCATGCTATTGTTTCTCTTCTGGTGGAAGAGAAGGGGGTAGCAGTGATTCAGTGGACTTCCAGAGAGTAGTAGGATACAAACCCTGCTAGAGAAATCAATCTTGGCTTTGCAGCTATATTTTTTTTCCTGAGAAAAATGAAGTTAACGATATTAGAAATGGCTTAAAGTGTTCGTCTGATCTTAAGCCACACTGATTGTTTGCTAGTTTTCTTCTGAAACATTCTCCCTGCCTCTGCAGTGAAATAAGAGAAGTAGAGTTTGTTGAGAAGTGGCTGAAATAATCTAGGAAAGGAACTAAAAATAGCCACATTTTTTGCATTGACATTGCACCTGCATTGTGAAAACATGACATGGACTGAGCCGCTGTAGCCCGTGCTGTATGATCAGGGAAGTTAGCTCCATAAAGATGCTTATTTCAAAAAGAGGCTACCTGGATGCTTGGCTCTGGAGAGATTGGAATATTTGGTATATCTGGAATATCTACATCCAATGATTTCTTTTGGCCCAGATGTGTGAGCAAGAGTCCTGAGTACCTGCAAAAAGCGGTAACTGAACTCCTTGGAGTATTGCCTTATAAGTCATTACAGTTAGTATTGCTCAAAAAGTTGAGAAGAATCCTTCAATGTGTCTGGGTGCTCATGTATCAGGAAGAATGAATACCAGTTCCTGACTCTGCAGGGCACATCATGGAGAGCTTTTGAAGCTTGCTGTTACCAAATTTTGGAAAGGCAAAGAGGCTTTTTCTCCCTCCCTGACTCCCCTAACTAGAGTTGTTGGGAAGAGAACGAGATTTAAGAATAGTAGCCTAAATGTACTTTCCAGAAAACAAGCAGAAAGTTACAGATAAGCGCCCTTATAAGAAAGATAAGCACCCTTGTCATACTATCTCCATGGGATCTTTTGGATTTGGTTGCCAGACTTGAGCCTTTTCCCCTCTTGCTTTTTCTTCATGTATTCAGAATGAAGCACTTTTTTGCACTTTGATAGTGGAACAAAGAATTAAGCAAAACCAAAAAACTGCAACTCTTCTGAGATACTGGCAAAATCCTATGCTTCTTTTCCATGATTTTTCTTATCTTGCCTACTATGCTCTCTGCTTATTCTCTCATTCTTTTCCTCACGCCCTTAGCAGTTGTCTAAGGTTCTCCCATCCTGAGTTTGGTGGGGGCCTTGAATATTGAGCTTTGTCTTAAATCCCTCCCTAGTTCTTTGTCCACAGGATGCAGAACCAACATTTCTTCTTGCTTCCTGGCCCAAGCATGAATTCTGCACATTGGTAAACAGTTGCTTTTGTGATGAAGGGCTGCCTCTCAACTTGCTTCAGTGTACATCAAGTCCTTTACTGCAGCCTAGATTGGTGAAACCTGCTATGTTTCCTGTATTTAGAAAATCTATTCCTTTATCAGTGAAAAAAAGCTGGCTTAGGTTGGAAACATCAGACTTTGATGTATGTTGCAATTTGTTCCATCTTCCTCGTTATCTCTTACAGCTGCTTCCACAGACATTTATTTTGAAGACTTTCAGGTCAAACAAGTGGTGTGCAATTGCTTTGGAGCAGTTTTTTCTGTCTAAAATATTGGTGCTGCACTGCTATTCTTTAGTCACATATCTCTCCTTGCTCCTCTCCCCACCCCTCCCAGCAGTTTTATTACGAATTTCAGCTGCCAAAATTTGGCCTTTACATGCTGGACCTTTGAGAAGCAGGGGGTAAGAGTGGTTGGTTTTTGACCCTCTGCCTCTTCTCCCTGTCTCCCAACTTGAGTACACACAGCCTTTTGTATTTTTATTCACCCTGTCTTGTGGTAATTTCCCATTCAGTACTTTGTTAAACACCTTGCCATCCTGCATTTGCTTCCGTGTTCTACTTCATCATTTGTATTGCGAACAGAGGTTATAAATTATTTTAGCATTATAGTGAATGGTTTCAGTCAAGGATTTAGTCTGTTTATATACAGATGCTATCACACCCCTAGGATCATGGATTCAGACCTCCCTGATTCAGTTTGGCAGGTTGACTAGAGTGTGTATTGTGTTGCATTTCATTAGATTAGGTTTCTAATCCATGTGATTAAGTTGTATACCTGCAAAGGCCTCATAACATGCAAGTAGCCTCTCTCCAGTTCAGATATTTTGAAATGCAATGTGCTTCATGAATTTGTAACCAGTGGCTTTTACTTTGGACCTGCATAATTCACAATTAAGAAATGGTACAGATCAGCTTCTACTGACAGCTTAATTTAAAGCATGGTGACATCTCACAGTGGGCAGCTAAATAATGAAATTAGGGCTTTATTTCAGCAGATTAAGGCTGTAGTTCAGCAAATAAAGGTTTACAAGATTTATATGCACATTGGGTTTATTGTAATAGGATAGATATACCCCAGAGCTCTGATGTCAGTTCCCTAGCCAGCTGCAGGACATAGTTTGCCTGACCTTATCCTTCTGTCCATCCATCTGAAGTTCACTGTGAAACAATGCACATTCTGTTATTAACTGGCTGCATTTCAAGCTGTATTTGGGTGTGCTGCTTCTAACCTAAACTGCTGCAGCTGCTGAAACTACCGTAGGTCTCCCTTCTTATCACTGAAGAACCTCCATAATGAGAAACAGGTCACTGTGTCGGGGACAAATCAAACCTTACTGCTCCCTTTTGTGCCAGGCTCTGAGCTGGCTGTTGTCTAGATGAAAACTGATAGTTGTGAAGCAGCGAAGAAGAAAGAAATCCTGTGTGTTTGTGGGGAGGAATCTTGAGGCTCCAGAGTACTTTTGCACTGGGAACTGAAGTTCTTCTTGCATGCTCAGACCTCATGTCTTTCTCCTTACATCTTGGGGGAACAGTATCCAGGCAGGACACTCACAGGTGAAGCAGGCAGACACAAGAGGCAGTAGATGCCTGGAACAGTGACCTTTGTGAGGTCTTCACTGAGAGATCAAGGCAATCCTGGGATCAGATTATGAGTGCTCAGAAGCAGCTTGCTGTGGAGCCTGTTCCTGATGCCATGGTAACAAACAATAAATTTCCCTGCAACCCTCATCTCTGCAGTTGTAAAATGGATTAATGATACAGATCTCCTTTAACAACACCCTTTAAAATATAACGATGAAGGGTGGTTTAGCAGAGTCTGAGTCACAGGACTATAAATGTATGGCTTTATTGGGTGCAGAGGACCATTAGAGCAAACCCTTCAGAGATGGGCCAAGGGTCAGCATTTCTGTAGAGCCATGAGTCCTTCCAGGATCTCCTTCCATTGAAACTCTTAATAATCTTTTAAAAACTTAGAGGTGGAAAAAGGGTTAGGAGAGTGTGAGTGTGCATGTGTAATACGAATATCTTCCAAGCAAATTAGGTTGAGTGTGACAAATTCAAATAATTGACTGAGCACTGGGAGAGGAAGGAGTGCCTAAATAAATGCACTTGGTAGAAGACATGATGATATGTGGCTGAAGAGCACATCTTCTGACATCTCATGAGCCCTTCAGTGCATTGTTTCTTTTGTCACCTAAGAGTTTCATGGTTTTTCTCTAATAAAGCCTTCTACCTCCTCATTCTTATTTCCACCCACTGGCTTCTCACTTCTCTCTTCCCAATGTCTTTTCAGCTGCTCTTCTACAACTCCCAGGGGTTTTTTGTTGAATTTTTTTTTGCTTTGTTTTGTTTTGTCTTGTCTCAAATTGGTGGCAGTTTAAATGTCTTTAATAGTGAGAGTTTCCATGGAGTCAACAAGCAGCTGCTGTCACTGATGTTAAACAGATTCAGGGTGGAAGAAGAGTTTGAGCATGAGTTGCAGGGAGAAGACAGGGTTGTACTGAGGTTAAAGTGAGCGAGGAGAGCTGGATTCTTCTTCAGGGTAGATGTCTCCCTTCAGCAAAAGCAATAGACAGAGCTGGAGGTGGCAACACTGATGAAGAGCCACACGGGGAGCTCAGTAGGAGAAAGATGATTAGAATAGCATGTGAGTGAGAACCCAGAAATTATGGGTTCATGCTTGGAGGACTTTTTGGCAGCAATTTAGGAAGAAGTGTAAGTAGAGAAATTAAAACTGAAGCATTCAAAATTGAAGCTGCTGAAGATTTAGATTCTTCTGCCAAGACAAGTGTTAGTTCAAGTGAGATGGAGCTGGAAAGATTTAAGGTTTTCTTGTCTGTCCTCAGCATCTTTGAACAGGACTTTCCTTGTTTGCTCTTTTTTTGGTTTGCACACTTATTTTGTCTAAGGTCTTTCTCACTGGAGGTAAAGATATGTTCAGATCTGATCCTCAATTCCTTCTTCGTGAACTCTGGGACAGCTAAAGAGAGTAGCAGGGAGTGTTGCCTACCCTCTGTCTCTGGCCTAAATTAGTCTCTCTCCCAGTTACATTCTGCTTATTAGTTTGCCTTCTAGCCTCTTCTTTCTGGCTGCTCCTGATCAGAGAGACAGACAGAAACACAGCTGAGAGCCTGAGACAGTGACAAAAAATCAGGAAGCCTTTTCAGAAATAGCTTCTGCTCCTTCTTTAAGGCCTCTTTGTACAGCCAGACTATGTGACACGTGTGGATGAGGGGAAGGAGTGGCTTTATGTAAATGAAATAAACCTCTGTCCATCCGTTCTGCTAGTAACCAACTGTAGAGGCTGTACATTTTCTTCCCATGTGGCTTGAATTGTTTACATCTTTTCTTAGCATATGCTAAGTTCTGGACTAAAGTTCACTCCCAGGTTTTCTAGGCCAGAGCGAGCACAGTTGAGATAAAGCACTTGCTCCTTAGCAGGATGACATCACCTCCCGTTACACCTAAGCATCAAAGTCTGGAAGAGGTACATGTTCTCCCATTCTTTCTCTGTGGCATTATATCAGGGACTTCAGCTGTATGACCCTGAAGAGCTAGGGCTAGTTGCCCTTCCCGTGGAGCCTTTCAGCAGCTATTTGTCTGCCTCTAAAAACGTGGTAATCATGTCACTGGATTGTCATGTTCTGGTCAGTTAGCTTACCTGCTGTAGGTCACTGAACAAATCCATTGAACAGATGGATTCCTGAGGTACGAAAACCATCAGAGGACTTGCCATCACTATCCCAGGCTCACTGGTGTTACAGCCTTTAAATCAATTACAGCCAACCCTATCTCAAAGTCTTCAGAGACTACATGATGTGTAAGAGTTAAATTCCTGCTAGCCGAATTCATTGCTGCACATAGCTATGATTTTCATAAGGAGCAGTTTGGCAGAACCCCAAGAGGAGAATTAACAGTGATCAATGTGCATCACAGTCAGAGCATGATAAAGCTTTCAGCCATGGCTTGTTCTGCTGTTCTGCAGAGTACTACAGCCCTCAGCAGTTGAGTCTGGGCCAGCACTTTCAGGGCTACCAAATCTTGAGAAAATGCAGATGTTGAAACCTTTTTTTTCAGAGAAAAACACTAGACCACCTTTGTACCTGTGCACTGCCTAGAGACTGAAACAACTTTGTGAAGCCCATGAGCTTTTTCTGAAACACCTTCTTTCTTGGCCTGTACTTGTTTCCATGACAAAGACTGTGGGCCAGACTTCTTCGCTTTTAGATTTCCTCTAAGTATTGTAAAGGGCTGGGTAATAATCCTCACTGCATTCTCTGTGATTTGCACAGTGCATCAAAAATATGCCATTTAAAGCAAGCTGTGCCTAAAAAATTTAAGAATTTGGCCAAAGAGCTGTATATAAAACAAGAATAATCTCTGGCATAACTTGCTGTTTTACCAGGCTGAAAAGATAACTACTGCCATTTTCCTTTGAACTTGCTTGTGCACTGGCTGATGTAGATGAAGTGTTCCTGCCAGCTGTGGAAAACCATGGATTTAAAATATTAGCAGAAGGATAAAAAAAATAATGGAGAAGAATCAGTGCTCTCTCCATTTCCCTTTTAAACACATACACTTAGCAAGATAAACAGGAGGGAAACTGTCATGCCAGTAAAAAGACAGGGGCCAGACTTGCAGTCTAGAACCAGAGAAAGGCTACCTCCTTCTTTGACCACCACTGGCTTTCTAAATACATGATCAGTTTGTTAATAATGAATAACAGTAAATTTATATAAAGAATAATAATAAACTCAGTCCCCAAAATCATCTTCACTGTGCTAACACTTCTTCCTAACCTTAGGGAAGTGTGGTGAGGACAAAGCAATGTGTACTCCTGCAGCCGCTCCAGGCTACTACTCAAGGAGGGGGTTCTTCCCATCAGTACCTCGGTGAGGAATTTGTGTTACAGCACAGCTGTATCAGTCACACCACACCATCTCTGTGAGCGAGTGGGACTGGCAAGCCCCCACTTGATGCTCATACAATTAACCTATTTTTAATTATGGGTTTTATTTTATGTTACTCTCTGTACAAGTGTCCTGTGTGTAGATAGGCCCTGAATTTTTAGAAGGACTTAGCTGTGTCAGCTGTAGCCCTTCTGCTTTCTGTTAGCTGCATGGTTGGTGACAGTATCTGCAGAATGATCCTTGATTCTTGTTTGATATAAAGCGTTTTCTCCTGCATTATATTGCTGAGTTCCTGATATTTTTTGTTTCTCAGGCTATAGCAGTCTTTTTTTTTTTTAGAACTCAGTACAGATAAGCAGTGAAGTTGTTACAACCATGGTGGTGCCAGCTCTTAAGATTTTATCACAGCTCTCCTGAGATGTTTTCCCTGGAGCTCCAGCTCTTGGTCATATTTAAATACACAGCAGTCTTAGCTAATTTATAATTTAAATTACTTTTGCTTACAGAGCTACAAGAGGGAGAAAGGAAAAATATATGATCCCCAACATTCCCCACACCAGAAGTAAATATTGATTTGTTCTGAATTTTTGTGACACTTTAATCCACCTTAGCAATGGGAAGAGGGAAAGGGGAGCTGTTTTAGTCTTTCAAAACACTTGGGTTTGGCATTTCTACAAACCTGCAGTTCTGTTCGTTTGGTATGTAGGCAGTACATGCAAGTAAAAAGTCCTCCTATATGTTCACAGCAGCTGCAGCAGGTATTGGTAACACTCATGGGGAGTCTGTGGAGGATATGACAACTGCAGTATTGAGCAAGGAATGCTCCACAACCCTTGAAATGTTCCTGTGTTCAAGTGAATGCTTCCTGCTATAGTATTAGTGGATGTGCGCTGCCAGTGACATGAGCTGAACTGCAACTGTGTGGAAATGCCTTCGAGAACAAAGCATTAGGATGTTTCCAAAAGAACCTGCCAAATATTGCTAGATCAGGATCTTAATTTTTCAACATCAGGACAGTGAAAAGTCAAAATCCAAAAGGTACTTGACACTAGATAGTTACGTTAAGTGCAATATTGCATCTCAGCACTACACTGCTCTTTCAGGTTCAGAGACATTATAGTACCATTTTTTGGCCCAGATGTGGTAAAAATACGTAAACATTTGTAAGAACTCATGTGCATGACACTTGACTGCAGGCAGTGAGCCTCTGTCGTAGCAGAAAATTTACAGGCATAGTATAGGTGCAGAGTTTTCAATGAAATCTATAGCTCATAGTTCTGTTCAGAGCTTGAATCACAAAAGTACTCTAGGCGCTTGCTTATCATTTTCAGCCTGTTTCTGAGTCCTTCTGGAGTCGCTGAGTGAAGCACCTGTCAGAGTTAAGCATGTGGTCTTCTGTCATGCCTTTGATGCAGGACTCTGCTGGAGTCAGCAAGGGCTTTTTCTGGGTAATGACTGCAGGGTTTGGTCCCTTACTTCTCATTATGTCTCTTCCCTTCAGGTACGAAGATTTTTTTTAAGCCTGTTTGAATAATCAATATTTTTAACCTTTTCTCACAGGAGTGTTTGCATTTGGACTTTTTGCCACTGACATATTTGTAAATGCTGGCCAGGTTGTGACTGGGAACTTGGCTCCCTACTTCCTGACTGTATGTAAACCCAACTACACTGGTAATGACTGTCGGGCCCACCACCAGTTTGTAAACAACGGCAACATCTGTACTGGGGATGTGGAGGTGATTGAAAAGGCAAGGAGATCCTTTCCATCCAAACATGCTGCTTTGAGCATCTACTCAGCTTTATATGCCACGGTGAGTGCCAGCGATGATTGCCAAGTTACATGAGGGGTTTCTGTATGTGCACCTAGATGGGGCCATTTTTCTTACAATGGGTTTTTGAAGAAAAACAGGATTGTTTTGCGGAGGGCTTTCTTCTTTATCTGTATGGGAAAATCCCCTTCTCTCTCTCTTTTACCACTCCTAGTATAAGCAAATCAAATGCTCATTGCTTTCGGGCACTGTATAATGTGGAGGCATGAGGTCCTAATCTTGTCTTTGCTGCTGATTTTCTCAGAAGCCTTTGAGTGTGCACTCAACCTCCTCTTCTCCCTGCCCCTGTCTCAAGAATATTAAAATTAAGTTGATGCTTAAACACATCACTACTCTTTCTTTTGTTCACACGCCATGGGTTGTTGAACATTTAAAATGTAAATTGTGCCATTTCAATGGGAGGCTGAATTAGGCTGGATTTTGCTCCCCTTGTTTAGGACCTGAATTTCCCATAGAAAGAAAGAAGGTTGTAATAAAAGTCAGTGCCAGAATTTTGCTGATATCACAGAGAAATGGACCCCAGTTGACATCTTGACAAGGTCACATTGCTATACTGTCAGGAGGGAAATTGTCTTTAAAAGTCTAGTGAAACGGATCAGAGGGTCTTTTGAGTTCTCTGGCTAAAGTTTCTGTAATGTTTGAAAATTGATCCAAGAAGCTTACTCACAAAGTAGAAATCCTTGGTAGTTTTGCCATTAAGATCCAAGGACTTAACCTGCTTTAGATCTCAGAATGGCTTAAGTAGGTCTTTTTTCCCCCAACAGCTTGACTCAAATGAGTGGCAGTCTGGCTGTAGGTCATCAGAATTTGAGAAAAGCCTTCAACTTAGTAATGACAGGGTATTTACTGAATATTTTACCCTGATCTTGGTAGCAGATGAATAAAACACCACATTATTCCTATAAAATGAAGAGGCCACCTGTTGCTGTTTCAGTATCCATCTGTTTGCACTGAATGTTGCGTCAATAATGACAGAGATATAAATTGATAACTCCATTGATCAGAATACATTGGGAAGTATTTGGAAAGCCTGTAACATTTTGTGCACATTACTTCTGAACAATAAGCAACCATGTGTGAAATACAGTTCCCAATAAACTCAACATTATTGTAGCAGCTGTTTTCATCATTATAAACTCTTAGGTGGAAGGTCCAGAATCAGGCTTGGTCCTGGTTCTGCCCTAGCTAGTTACATCCTTTCATGGACTTCCCCTGCTGAGCCTCCCTTGTTTCCTAGGAAGGCAAGTCTTCTACAAACAGGCTGATTTCTACAACTGAAGGGGAATAATCCTTTTCCTTCCTGAGGTTAAGTCCCCAGTAGTTCGGTATTTCTGACTCCTAGTCTTTCAAGAGTGCCTGCGATGGGCCTGCACTTCTCTCTCCCTCCCGTAGGAAGATACTAGGTGGAGCTAGGACATGGAGTTATTTCTGAGCCGCAGGGTCATGAAAGTCTGCCTTTAAGGCATTGCACAAGAAATGCAGTGTTCGGGTCTAGCTCTGCTTAATAATTGTGCTGTGCACAATTTTTTGAGAGGTGTCTTGCTGATTCTAATATGCATGATAATGTGGGTTGCTGAACAAAACACAGGGTATTTGGTTGGTAATAGCTGTATTTTGGATAAAGCTGAAGATTTGAGCCATGGAACCAGAAAAATAAAAACGGGTTGAACACAAGGAGGCAGGAGAATAGAACGAGCACAGACATTGTCTTTCCTCATATAAATGTCTGTTGAGAGCTGGGAGTCTCCTCCCATCACTGAACCTTGCGTATCCTCTGCAGATGTCTCTGTACTGATTTGTTCATTAGCTCACTAGTGACAGGACTCCCACTGTGATTGGTTTGGCTTTGTGTTTTGGTTTTGTTTTTTTGTAATAATCTGGGGTTTATATTTATTCAGCTAGGCTTTTTCTTGTCACCTGCCAAAGAAGCTGAGGAGAACCCAGAGCATCACTTTTGTGATCTCTGCAGGCACAGATGAATCTTGTATGCCTAAAGTAGGGGAAAGAGAAGACAGCCTGCAGCCCTTGCTTTCATACATACAAAAAAATTAGAATGGCGTCTAATGAAGTTTTATTAGTCTCCCAGAAGTATCACAGGAAGAGATGGCAGTCACTGTACATAGTACACACTGCTGTACAGTTAGAAACACATGGTTCTAAGTACCTTTCCCAAGGGAAAATGATAGGCTACGAATACTCCTTAATTCATTAACATTTCTGGCAATACCCAAAAAACAGACGATAAAATCATATGTTGCATATGGGTATCCCAGTTACATCATCTTTTAACTACTTTTAACTGTTACTTCATGCTCTTCTGAGAAGGGTCATGGAAGAGTCAATGACAAGATGCTAGTGTTCAACCAGAACATGGAAAATAAAAGTATTTCACCAGCACAACTGGAGGACCTCTTAGTGTAGATCCTCCTGTTTACCTCTGGAGTGAAAGCAAGAATTGTTTTACAGTCACAATAGGGTCTCTATGGTTGAAAGATCAACTAATTACTTACATTGACTGTTTAGTAATGTTTTTAGGATTCTTCAGCTAAGCTTTTGCCTAGCAGCATCCACAAGGAATGCTTTCTGTCACCTCCATCTGGCCAGAAGACTATACCTCATCACACTGGATGATGACTGGCATCTGTCATTTCTGCCTGGGTGTGTTGCTTCTTGACTAGATTAGAGTGATATAATATACCTGGCCATGAAACTTTCAACATTTGGGAAATTCTGAAAGGAGAGAACACTACAGCAACCCAGGTCACTGTGACCTCACCAACAATTTCTTCAATTTCTGCATTAACACTTACCAGACTAATCAATGAAATTCAAGGCCTTGGCACTTCGAGCACCTGCACTGAGCATCTAGGAGAGTGCATCATGTTCTACAATACACATCATTGTCAAAGGCTCTCCTTCTCTCTTACTGTAGAAATCTCTATGGTAAAGGAAAAGATTGTCTGTAAAGCTTGTAGGATGCAGAATTTTCCAGTATTGGTATGAGATTGTGAACTTCCCAAGGAAAATAAACTTTCATAAATCTCCCCACTTCCTAAAAAAGGACAAGACAGATTTCTTCCACTCTGCCCTTTCTTCTTGTCTTGGTTTTGGCAATGACCAGGGACCAATGGCAAGGACCAATTCTCTTTTCAGTAGATTTTCCTTCAGTTAAGTTTCTTCTAAGTAATTGCACTTTCTGAAGTTGACTACAAGTTTTTCAGACAGTGTCTCCTTTTAGAATTGATAATGCTTGATGTTTATAGTTGTTACCAAGGTAACGATAGGACTGATATGCAGAAAGGCCCATGTTTGTACTTATCCCTGTGGGAACCAAGGTCATTGCTGGGTCTCTTATGGTTCACAAGTGAAAAGTCATAAAATGGTCACACCTGCAGCAAGGAGTGGACAGGACACCAACCAAAAACTGGCCAATGAAGGATTCCATCCCATCCATGTCATACTCGGTATAAAGCTAAGGGATCACAGGGGTTGGCCCTTCCTCTTGGCCGGCATCGCTGTAGGACTCTGCTCATTCTCCTGCCTCCAATCCCAATCCATGTATTCCTGAATCGTCGGCGAAGTCCAGTCGGGGACATCCAGTTGCCTGCCCTACCATGTCAGCGGTGCAAGCCACCATGGCATGCAATCCCGTAATCGTCATTGGGAAGCTCAATATTGGTTT